ACCTATGGAATAGGGTGTGTATGGGGGATGCCTTCTCTGTCCCCTTTATCCTCTCTTGGTCAGGTACAAGAGTTTAAAACCTCCCGCCTCCTGTAATACCAGGGAAGATGGGCCTCTGCTACCAGGGAAATTTCGCGGCAGACTAAATTTGAATTACGATAACTGAGATTCTAACATTCTCCAAAAAGTTAGACAAACAGGGAGCAAGATGGCAAGATGTTATATCAAACAAACACGCGTTCATGTGAATCAGAAAACACAACAAAAATTCTAACGCCACGGAACCAAACTAAATTCAGACATAAGAACCATGCAACATATTGAAACACAAGGAAATTTTTTTGTTCACTTGGCCGGCTAAATCCTTAGCCAAGTACTTTCCCAATTGACATCTATGTAATGGGAGACCGTCCTGGATTTATAAGGTTGTAGATGTAGAAGATATGATCTGAATAGCTTCTGAATCTAACATAAAAACAATCACAGCACCCTGTACTCTCTCACCGGTTTAGAGAAGCGATAAAACCAAGGGTTCAGGATCGAGATTTGCTTTAGGACTTTCTCCTGAGATAATGCTTTAACTACACGCAGTATGTTATAGATCTGATAGATCTTTTTTTCCCTTCTGCTAGGTGTTCTTCGAATGTTGGAAGGACTGGAACTCAACAACAAATCAATCTCGCGACGGGATGCCGAATCAGAGGGATTGTTGCTCACGAAATAGGTAATAATAATAATGACAATCTTTATTGAGGATGCCTACTTCACCCTAAAGTGCTTTACTGAAGGGTCCTCATATTCTCCTATTCATATCATAATTTATCATTTTTTGAGTGACAGTTAATTTAAAAGCACGTTTTCCCTAGAGCAATTTCTTTTAACGTTTGTTGCTTCTAAGGACTACCATTAGAAGAGAGTGGGCAGTGGCTGATTGGTTTGATAGAGGAATTTTTTCTTTCGTTTTAATTTTTTTTGTAGGACATGCTCTCGGTTTGTTCCACGAACAGTCTCGTCCTGATAGAGACTCTTTTGTTAGGATAGAGACACAAAACATACGAGAGGGTAAGAAAGTAACGGTCATACCGTCATTTTTTATCGTTTAGTAATGGAATAAACACTAAAATATGGCGATTATTCCTAGGAACTCCATGGGTCAGGCAACCCTAAATTTCTTGGCACCCAGACCAATTAAATCATTTACACAATAAAAATTAGATGTGCCTTGCGCGGGTGCCCAAAACGTTTGTCGTTACGCCGATTATCAGGGATAATTGGGCACTACGAACCCTAACATACCCCCGGGGATACTCCCTATAATGGCAGTACAGGAAAGCTCCGCCTTTTTCAGGCTTCAGTTCGTATTTTGAACGAGCACTTGTGCTCTTAGACGTTAACGAGGGTAAATAAATTATTGATTATTGATATTGATTGAGTTATATGAAAGGGTAGGGATTTCTCGCGTTGAACTATATGAAAAAGCTAGCAGATGCATTTAATAGCTGATAAAAAGTCTAGAAAACGTTCTGGTTTTGTGAGTTATTCATATTCACAAGCAGACAGTGAATTTACAGCAGTTAAAGGCGGTACCATTTGTCAAATGAAAGGTATAATGAAGAGGAATCGAAAAATGGTCAAAACTGTCAAAAATGGTATAAAAAGAGTGAGCACTGTAATTTTCAGGGAGTTGTCATAACTCCTCTAGTGGGGCTAATTTAACTCCTTACAGTGGAGTTATTTTTCGTGGAGTTACTTTAACTCCAAAAAGGAGTTTAAAGAACTCTTTTTCAGGAGTAAAAGTGACCCCAGATATCGAGGAGTTAAAATAACCCCAAAAAAGGAGTTATCCTGTACCTAAAATTTTTACTCCACTTTCAGAGTTAAATTAACTCCAAAAAGAGTAAAAACAACCCATGTAAGGAGTAAAAGTAACCCCATTTCGGAGTCATTTTAACTCCAGACTGGGAGTAAAAAGAACTCTTTTTCAGGAGTAAAAATGACCCCAAATTCGGAGTTAAATTAGGAGTTAAAATAACCCCAAAAAAGGGGTTATCCTGTACCTAAAATTTTTACTCCATTTTTGGAGTTATAATAACTCCCTAAAAATTACGGTGAGGGGATGGACTTCGGGGCAGAGAATCCCAGCATAAAACTTTGCTGAGCACCCCCCCTCTCTCCCCCCCGGTCAAACGTTTTGCATTGTACTCTTGTACTCCACGAAAGTTACGTACAGTGCAACCTCGATATAACGAACCTCTATACAACGAAGTCCTCGGTATAACGAACGATTTTCGTTACCCCCCAATAATTATAGTAAAATATATGAAAAAGAATCTCGATATAACGAAAACCTCGTTATAGCAAAAACATTTTGGAAGTCCCTTGACCCTTCGTTATATTGAGGTTCCACTGCACTTGTTTCTTTCTTATCACATTTTTACAGGTTTCGAAAACAATTTTCTCAAGTACGACAATGGTTTTATTGATTCCCTTGGGAGTCCCTACGATTACGGAAGCGTGATGCACTACGGAGACAAATTTTTTTCTAAAAATGGTCAGCCCACGATTGTGGTTCTAACGCCTGGGGTATGTTGCTATTAAGGCTACCAGTTTAGTGCTCAAGAACAGGTGTATTGATAATTTTATTTTTCTGCAATATACCCTTAGTTTACGATACATGCCGTCTTTGCAAGCGCTTAATGACTGATGTGATAATAGCAAATGTGACGTGGTGTTCATCAGGGGAGCAAACAAGTGAAAAATGCCTTTGCAAGAAATCGTGATCGAGTCTGTTTATTCTAGACAACAGAAAATAAAGACGTTTTCATCTTAAAGACGATAATGGCAAATATCATTATGTATGGAAGTGATCGTTGTTAATTTTTTGGATACAGTAGCGACTGTAGATGTCCCCACAGCAAACAATAATGACGTAAAACTTGTCGAAACTCGAACTGTACACTTCGCATGACTATTAAATCGTTGTCTCGATTTGTTAGAATAAACAAACACGACCGCAATTACTCGTGTTGGTAAAGATTTTATCACTTGCTCGCCCCCTGAAATACCACGTGACACTGGCAAAGATGGCGGGTATCGGAAATAAGATCTCTTCACTTTATTGCGGGCGACAAGAGGAACTCGCAATCCTACCCCTCCGGTCGCCTACGCCAACATTTCCCCCTTAGTGAGAATTAAGTGTTAATGTTGGCTTAGGGGAGGGGTAGGTGAGAACTTTACCAGAGACCTCAACTAATTTGGTCTGATTTGACCCTAATATGAAATACAAGATCTGGTCTTCATGAATAGGAATTGAAAAGGCTGTAGTCGTCAAGAAGTTAATTCCATTCTTTATTTGACTTTTTTCTTTTAGGCTGAAATTGGACAAAGGAATGGCCTAAGTGCAACTGATGCGCAACAAGCAAACCTACTCTACCAGGCATTGTGCGACGGTAAGGTCTACAAACAAGCCAATGGCAATTTAGTTGCCTGCATTGAATGTTACCTATTAATCACATGCATTTTTTCATGCATTTGGAAAGCAGTAGTTGTTCACATGCATTTGAAAAGTAGTAGTAATAGCAGCAGCAGCAGCAGCAGCAGCAGCAGCAGTTAGTAGTAGTTGAAGTTCGACTAAATCTTCATTTATTTATTGGAAAGTCTTATAACCCTTGTGGAAAGCAAGCTTTAAAACGAATATGATAATTTACGTGAAGACAGAGTTTACAATAATGTGCTCTTAAAAAAAGATAATTACTTTTGAACTGATTTTTTTTCAGCACGGCCTACGACTGCAGGTAAGTTACAAAAATTTAAATACTTTATTAAATACCACACCTTTTTTTCAGTAACACACGCTACCCCCTCCTCCCCTCCCCCATCCTTGCATAAACAAGTCCCATTTTGGCTAAGGTGAGAAAGATTTGCGCAAGCACAAGGTACTACCCTTTATTGAGGTGCGCGGTCTAAAAGGAACGCAAAGTTCTGTCGTGTTTCCCGCCATTGCCCGAGGTGATCTTAGCAGGAACTGCAATAATAGAACTATTCTCCAGCTTTTCCTCTTGCCAGTCAAGCAATCCATTATTTTTTCGCAAAACGAAAACGTGCCTAATGATGATTGGATCGGTTTGAGCAATGTGAAAACTAAAATGCCTTTCTTGCATCCCATAAGCCCAAAAGTCAAACTAAGAAAACAAAAGGAGAATAATAACTTATAGGAGAGAGAAAGAAGTAAGTAAACGTTTTTCAAAATCCAGCTACATATTCAGTTTTAACTTAAAAATTTTACACGACATATTCACGGACAGATGGTGAATCGAATACGATGCAACTCGGTCGTAAATACATCCACCCATCCACCGTAGGTGCTATTTTTAAAAAGGCGACAAATCAAAGTAAAAACTATATTATTAATTTTAATCTTGCAGTACCAAGCACAGCTCCTCCTACTCCTTCTCCTACAACTGGTGAGTGAGTTTTGTAAGGAAGACCCCAACCCTCCAAGCTCATTCTACGAGATAACCAACACGGCCATCAAGAATTCGCCTTAAACTATTTAGCAGAACCCCCTTCTATCTTCTGGAGTGAGGAGAAGAAGAGGTGGCTCGGCCTGAATCGTGTCAAGCCTTTGAAGTCCCCAAATTCCGAACTAGTCAATCTTGTTCTCTATCGTCAAACTGGTTTTCCGACTGCGAGCATCCATTTGTTAATAAACCAAGGATCATAAATGAGCCCGCTGTACTAAGCGCACTGCTACTAAGTCTGTGTTAGAATAGTGTATCCCAGCAATAAGCGGCACATTTTCAAGGAAGAGCTCCCTTTATTCATTACATTCTCGAGTACGCCGTTAATAGAACACCGAATCGAGAAGTGACAGAAACGCTTTGATAACAGGCCGTACATGACTCACATTCTTTTACGATTGATTAATTGCTAGATTTGAACGAGTGCCTCTCCTCGCCCTGTGACCCCAATGCCGTTTGTCAAAATACCATTGGTTCCTTCACTTGCACGTGTAAACCTGGATTTACTGGAAATGGACTATCTTGCACAGGTAAGTTAAACAATGATGGATTTGAAGACTATAGGCTACAAACATAAGTCGGACGAATGCGCATTGGCCACAATCGCAGGTGCATTAACTTGTTTTACACAAATAGAGAGTGCTTTCTTTAAGGACTAGTACAAACTAAACCAGAAGCTTAATGGTACCGTCGTGGTGTCTCGAGGATCCGGTGGAACATTACTCTATATACTTCGAATCACTTATGTCTTTTTACCACTGAAATCATTAAAATTATTAAATTTGATTATTCCATTGAAGTTAAGTAGAGCTTTTTGTCCTAAAAATACTGCTACAATAAACAGGATACACATTCATCCGTTGCGAGTACTTCTGCTTGCATAGCCTATCGCGGTTTTGTTTGACGTCCACTGACTATATCCCGGTTAAGTTTGAACAAGTCTAAATCATTTTAAATTCTTAGCCAACTCAGAGCTCTGTAAAGAACCCTTGAACGTTAACAAGCAATTGGTACCTTAATTAGTTAAGCGAGCTGTTTTAAGAAAACCTTCTTGTGTTTAAAATATTTTGCCAATAAGCAGACATCTGCTTTATTGGCCATTCTGATTCTGAGGCTTTGCGTCAGAATGGGTTGGTAATTTCTCTACATGGACCTTTTTTGTGGAGCTGTCGCTTCTTATCGGCTATTGAGAGGTTGTGCAAGAAACTGGGTCAAAGTGCGTTTCCCAGAACATTCCCATAGACTAACTGCATTTTCAAGACAACCGCGAACCTAAGCGCGAGGACGGGTGCACGCTATTTGCGTTCCCGGGTCTATGGTGCAGAGCTCTTGCGTTTCATCCACTAACCATTGTAGCCTCCTTTTTTTGCTTCCTCAACCTGTCATCTTTGGTGTAGCTAAATATGATATGATCTATTTTGTCACGGGCTCCAGTCAAGATGACGTTTAGGTTAGGATTTAACTCGGATTTTGACTGAAAAAATACCGATAAAGCGACGATCGGTGTTTTAACCATCTCCCTCCCCCCTCCCCCCCCCCCCCTCAAAGTGAGTTTTGCTTAGAGGCAAATGTAATTCTTACCCTCTCCCCGAGTAGTATCGCTTGTTACTTCAAAATCACCGAAACAAGACCTATTGTTTTTTAATTTGATCTCCTTTTCTTGATACGCTTCACATTTATTAATAAAAGTAATAACAAATGAATTGATTGATTGATGAAACTGACATTTCTATTCTAGACTTGTGAGCAATTCTCCCATTAATATTTTTACTAATATTTTCTGATTAATTTAGACATCAACGAATGCACCATGTCTTCTCCCTGTGAGGAACCTGCCTCTTGTACGAATACTGAGGGTTCCTTTCTTTGTACATGCCCTAACGGATTTGTAATTACTGGAAACGGTTTATCCTGTTCAGGTGACTTAACATAATGATAATGCCAATAGACTAAGCTTTTGTAAGCGTCCTTCTCGAGAATCCAAAAAATGAGTGGACACTCTAGCTGGTCGAGAATTGGCTCTCGCGAGTATGGGGTCGTTTACAAGAGCTATTTATAGCAAAAAAAAAAATTGGCATATGTTATTTATTACCAATAAAGCTAGTAATATTAAGGTCTCGGTAAAGGAAAACGAGGTGCCCACTGAAAAAAATTCTAGTCGCGCGAGTATTTTCGCTACAAAGGAAAGTTATATATCAAATTAAAGCTAAAAGACTAAATTACCTTATAAAAGATTTTATTTCATCGAATTTCAAAAGGCGCTTAAGTTTTTTGCTCTGGAACTCAGAGGTATCGAGTTTACTGCTGAATCTCCAGCCCTTTCGCGTTGTTAAATATTAACTTCCTTTCTACGGCATCTGATTAACAGATAAAAGACCTAAAAATGGGTGTGAATAATTTTCCGATTTCCCTTTGTAACTCATTTTATGTCAGTTTCTTTGCGTAAATCGCGCTCGAGATTCGACTTTTTAGTATGAAATGCAATAATTCCGCTAATACGAGACATATGCAAATTTCCTCACACCCTTTTTTAGGTCTTTTATCTGTCAATCAGATGCAATAAAAAGGAAGTAAATTGTAAATTGTAAATTGTAAATATCTTATTATCCACTCCCCACAGGGCTTTTCAGGGATAATTTACAACACTGGTTGGGGGACTTTGCCAGACTGCTTAAGGTGCAGTTTACAAGTACTGAAGGAATGAGTAATGATGCCCCCATACATGAGTGTGAAAGTGAGATACACCACTACACCGGGCACTACGTGCCCTACTCTTTACGAAGAGTGTGTGGGTTCTTTAACGTCCCACAGATTTATTACATGTGCAAGGGCTTGTGAGACGGGGCCTACGGATTATCGTCCTTATCCGAGAAGACTAGAAAGTCTAACCATTTACAGATGTTATTACAAAGGCAGCACTTTCTCCTTAGTTATTTAAAGACCCTGAGTGTTGGTCCGGCCGGGGTTTGAACCTACGGCCTCCCGCTCAGCAGACCGGCGCTCTCCCAACTGAGCTAACCGGGCGGCGGTTAACAACGCGAAAGGGCTGGAGCTTCAGCAGTAAACTCCATACCTCTGAGTTCGAGAGCAAAAAACTTAGGCGCCTTTTGAAATTAGATGAAATAAAATCTTCTATAAGGTAATTTAGTCTTTTAGCTTTAATTTGTTATATAACTTTCCTTTGTAGCGAAAATACTCGCGCGACTAGAATTTTTCTGTGAGCACCTCGTTTTCCTTTACCGAGACCTTAACCAAGGGTTGGGGTGTGGGGGCGAGACAGATCAAAACCCTCATGTCCAAAGCTGTGCTTTGCTTTTTCAAGTGAAAGAAGCTGAAAAAGTGTCTGATCAGTTTGCGCTCTATGCATTCCTCTCCTTCTTAGGGGAAGTCCAAACGAATGCTGGCTGCCTACCTGCCGCGCATGCGGGCTTTTCTGGTCGCCCGCAATAAGCCATTTTCGAATGTTAGGTTTAGTTGACATTAGAATAATTATGGTTTTTGATTCATACAATACAATAGTTTATTGACACTCCCCTGGTGGAGCTTTTCAGTGACAATGCGACTAAAAAAAAACTAATTAAGATAAGAGAAGTAGTTAACAATTCGATTAAAGGAAAGAATGCGGTGAACAAAGCAATATAAACATACCTATTTAAGAATTAATCGTATAATAAATATTCTCACTACGTACTATACAATATGCATATTTTAAGTTAAAATAAAATAAGATACTAGTAAGATACTAAAATACTATCATAACGTGCTATTTAAAAAGTCAGTAATCAACTTATTTTTCAGACAAAATTTAAAAGTAGAAATCGATTTTGCAGTTTTAAGAGTACTGTCTAGATTGTTCCAAATGTGCACCATGCGGTAGTGGAATGTTCTCTGTCCGGTACTCGACTTATACAAGGGGATGTTTAATAATTGGCAACTTCGAGTCACGCGCCCGGTGACCGCAATTCTTGTTGTAAATTGATCGCTGAGGTAATGTGGAACTTGACCAGTCATGCATTTAAATGCTATGAGAGCGTCGCGGAAGAACAGCTTTTGTTTAATTGGAAACCAACATAGATCTCTTAGTGCGGGGGTTATAGGATCAAATTTCCTGGTACCTGTAATAATGCGCGCGGCAAAGTTCTGCACTGATGTACTGTAGTCTACAGATATTTTTCATAATACTTGTTTTATTAGATGTCAACGAGTGCATCTCCTTGCCCTGTGACCCAAATGCCTTTTGTCTAAATCTGCTTGGGTCCTTCACTTGCACGTGTAATCCTGGATATACCGGGAACGGACAGTCTTGTACAGGTTAGTGTCGTAATTTGCCGCAATCTTTGGTTGAAGTAGCCAACTTGTGGTTCTTTTGTTCTCTACTAGACCCCCCCCGCCACCTCCCCCCTCCACCCTGCTTTCTACTTTTTTCTCCACCCCAGACACACTGCACTAAGCCTCTCGCCTCGTTACTGTTCGTGGTCACTCAGGCCTCGACGACGACCGAAGAACAACTCTAATTTAATGTATACTGAGATTTATGAGGTGAAAATGGATTCAATGAAATGTAGACATTTACACTTTTATCCGCACATGGCCAACCTTTTTTTCGGGAGATCTACAGGAGAAATTTAACCGTCAAGCGTAAAAAGTTCTTTTTTTTTACCGTTAACCGTCAAAAATGCAGACCATAAAAAAAGTTTCAAGGAATTTCAAATATCACTATTACAAGACACTACCAGGCCACACAACTTGCACATATCTGAAAACAGTTCTAAATTTTACTACTGAAAGGCCAAGACAACCCCCAAAACACAACAGTTAATATTAATTTATACAGAAGTTAACATTTGGACTAAATTTCCACTTATCAACCGTTAACCGTGGAAAACTCTAAAGTTTAATCGTCAACAGTCAAAGTTGGAAAAAAATTACTGTCAACCGTCAAAGCTATCACCCCATTGAGACTCTCTACAGATTAACATTTCACCTCGACGCTGGAGGTTGAGTTAAGACGTTTAGCTATAGAAAATCTTGTTTTATGAATCATGATGGCTTTGTTTATTAGATATCAACGAATGTATGTCTTCCCCCTGTGACCCCAATGCCGCTTGTCAAAATACCATGGGTTCCTTTACATGTGCGTGTAATCCGGGATATACTGGAAACGGACTATCCTGCACAGGTGACATAGCATAACATTATATTTACTTCCAACAATATTGACAAGAATATTGAAACGCAGTTTAATCTAATATTTATTTAATGATTTTTGGTTCAGAAGCAAAAATCCCGAGACCAAGTCGAGGGAAACGCAGAAAATAAAACTAGCCGGTTTCTGAACGACTTGGTACTGTTAAGTGTTTTTTGTTATATTTCTAGACTTTCACTTCAACAGCGCCAAAGAATAACCGGAGCGAATCAAAACAGTCGACTCGGTTCTTATAAGAACACAAATGTAATTCTCAAAACCACTGAATGAATGATTTACAAAGTACTTTCCTTATATTATCTGCGTCTTTTGCCTCCACTAGCTGCTATTTCTCTTCAGGGATAACTTTGAAAATCGTTGGTTTTTAGCTTGAGGCTTCATGTTTGTGTTGTGGACCCCTTGTTGTGTTCATCCTCGAAAGTGAAAACTGGCAGTGGTTTCCCCGCCTTCACGCTACTATCCACCATGATTGATCGCGTGCTGTAATGTATCCCGAGCGGGGTAGAATTGCTGAAATGCATCACGATCGGGATACATTTGAATTTAGTCAAGGCCATGTGACCAGGAATCAAGAATCGGCAGTCCCTGTTTAGTTAAGTGAAAGTCTAGGAATATAACAATGTTTATTGATTTTATTTTTTAAACCATTAGATATCAATGAGTGCATGAATTCACCCTGTACACTGGACGAAAAAACGGATTTACTAATGTTTGCGAAAGGTGCAAATATGTGGTAAATTTGGAGCTCCAAATTTGCATTAAATTTGCGCTGTCGGCTAAAGTGTGGGCAAATACATATATTTGCTAGATACGTATTGATACGCAAAAGTGAAGTAAATGTAATGGTTTGATACAAATTTGATACATATTTGCAGCATGGGCAAATCTTCAACATTTCTACCAGTTTACTCAAATTTACATCCTTGGCAAAAATGACAGTTTTCACTTTACTTCAAATGCAGGCAAATATATTGCAAAACCACTAATTTGCAGTGGTATTTGCTCTTGTTTTTCCAGGATACCAAAAGAACACTTTTGCATGTGGTTTACTCGTATTTGCCTTAAGAGCAAAAACAATAAATTTCTAGACATTTGGCTGTATCATAAATTTGCACATTTGCATCATAATTATCCATATTTGCAAGGGGAGCAAATAGAGTGAGCTGCATAACATTTGCTGACAGTCAAAGGTGATGTGCATGTGACATTTCCTATATGTTTGATCCGTTTTGTGACTAAAGTAAATTTCCAATCTCAACTGTAACATTACATTGTTACAATAAAATTTTGTACACGCTGTGAGACTCCGCCCAGGGGTCCAACCCCTTACATGCATCTTTCCTGTTAACTGTTTTATGTGCACTGTCATTTTAATATAAAGGAATCAGAAACCAGTTAATTTTTTTTGACAATTTTACATTCACAAATTTCTTCTGTTAGTCTTTTTACAGAACGAAATGACAGATAGTCTACCCTGTCATATACTTTAACTCAGGAAATCCCTATCCTTTCATACCTGAAGCATGAAAAAGGTGTCCCTTTCTGACAGCGCCCCTGGCATAAACCTTTCCCGGGCTACTAATTTAAAGCAAATACACTAATTCAAATCCACTCGTTATTAAGGTCCAGTAGTCAGATCATTGATGCACTGTATTTCCTACGGTCAGGGCCATAGCCAGTATGAGGCAAACCGAGGCACTTGCCTCTGTCATTTAAGGTTTGATACTGGCAGTGTTTTGTTTCAACGTAGTCATCATAAAGACCCTGAATAGCTAATACATATACTGCAGGGTTCTTTCTATATTTCCGACAATATTTATACTGATTCTAGAATATTAGGGGCATATATCATACCGGACTTATTTGTTGTAGTTTTGACTGACCACCTAGAGATGACTACATCTCGATGGTGGGCTTCCTAAAAATGACCACATTTTGAAAACTCAACAGCCAATACTACAACAAAATATGGTGAAACTGCTCACAATTTTATTTGAACATTAACTCAGCTGACAAATTTATGAAAGGCTAATTTTTCTTACTCTATTGTTTGCAACCCTGAGTTTAAGTTTCACTGATTTTAATGCTGATTTGAGTTTTACTGTTCATTAAGTACTACCTATTCAATCCAAAAAGTCATAGCATTTCGGCTGGCTAAAATTCACCTGAAGCCTGGTTATTTGAACTTGGGATACAAGGAGGATCTACGGGAGCTACCGGTCAAATTGTCAAATCCTACCCGACCCCCCCCCCGCCCCATAAACAATGAACAGACCTTTATTGGGTTACAGGATCACAGGAGCTCTGAGTTAGCCTTAGATCATGAAAAGTATAGAGCTATAAAGAAAAAACTAAGGTGGTGAAACAAATTAACATGCAGCCTTTAAACTTCTGGACTGGGTTGCTCAAAGATGGGTTAAGATAACACAAGGTTGGGTCCAGTGGTCAGATCATTTACTGCATTTTTTGTACATCATACTAAAAAATCAAATTTGGTCCAAAATAAAAACTTTTGTGGATTTCAAACTCAGTGTTGTGATTATTCACTTGTACATAATTTCCTCATGGCCATTTAACCAACAAACTTAATTCAATTTAAAACCAACAATTTTAGTTTAACCGGTATTTGTTGTAGTTTTGACTGCCCACCTAGAGATGACCACATCTCGATGGCCGGCTTCCTAAAAATGACCACATTTTGAAAACCCAACAGCCAATACTACAACAAAATATGGTGAAACTGCTCACAATTTTATTTGAACATTAACTCAGGAGCTCTGAGTTGGCCTTGGATCATGAAAAGTTGTAAGCTATAAAGAAAAAACTAAGGTGGTGAAACAAATTAACATGCAGCATTTATTATCCGTCCAGGCTGGGTTGTTTAAAGCTGGGTTAAGATAACCCAAGGTTAGTACGAAATATGAATTCAGATATGACAGTTTTAAAAACAAATTCATTTGAATTCCTTTTGTCTACAATTTGGTGATTTGATACTTAAAAAAAAGGGAAAATTATCTGACAAAATGCTTTTGATTAAAAGGAAAAAGAAACGAGGTTAAAATCTAGCACTGGGTTAGTGCTAATCGGTCTTTGGAACAACTGGGCCCCGGGTTTTTTGGGTCCAATTCTAAATCACATAACCACTTGAAGTGAGTCAATATTGGTACATAACCTGGGCATGTGTTACATTCCCCTTCTGTCATTTGATAATAGTAAAGCCTAGGGTCGCACAATGGGCAGGGATCTCCAATTACTAAAACTAAAAATTCAAAATGACACAGTAACTGTTGTATACAGTTACAGAGGGCCCACACTACCTCCCCTTTACATTAAGTAAATACACTACAACAAATCTACTGGACAAAGGTCCAGTAGTCAGATCATTTACTGTATTTTTTCTACATCATAATATTATTATTAAAAAGCTAACAATAACAAGGCCACCCACAGTACCTTAAGTTTGTTAAAAAAAAAAAAAAAAAAAAAGGTTCTGTGCATTTCAAAGTCAGGGTTGAGATTATTCACTTGTACACAATTTCCTCATGGCCATTTATTCAAGAAAATTCACATCAAAACTGACAATTTTGTTCTTACCGCTATTTGTTCTAGTTTTCACTGACTATACCTAGAGATGACCACATCTTGATGGTAAGCCTCCTAAAAATGGCCACATTTTGAAAGCCCAACAGCCAATATTACAACAAATGGTGAAATTGCTTTGTATTTCATATCATTTGTGAATAGAAACTCAGCACAGACATGAATGAATAATTTCTTTGCTGCTCTTTACAACCCTGATTTTGAGTTCAATATGATTTGTCTTTTAAAACATAATATCTGAGGCATATTTCTTAAGCTATATGTCAGTGCTAGTGAGCAGTCATGGACTGCTGTTTTGAAGGGGCATCCGATAGCAAGATAGCCTTTCCAAAATCAATGAGCATTGGGTGGTACATATTGTTTACCTCTGTAAGAATAATGTTGTCACTCTTTATATCTCTGTGGGGAAACCTGTATGAGTGCAAATGTTCTATAGCTTCACACAATTTCAGTACATTATGTTCCTGCAGAACACTGTGAAAGGGACATGGATTTCCTTAGCAGGGCACCGCACAAAGAAAAAGAAAAATAATATTGTAAAGATGGTAAAAATATAACCCAATTAAGGAAGTACATGTGAGGTTTCTGTTTTGTGACATTTACCCCAAACAGATGGGGTATTGATGGATGCCAGCATTCAGTATATAAGCTTCAATTCTGTCATCTTGTGAAGTGGAAAAAATGATTACTGTAAATAAATTGAGACCCACTGGAATACCCCTGTAGCATTTCTTCATGCACAGACCACAAACAGCTTCCCCATATTGAACCTGTATTTCATTGACCTCTTTATCTTTTGGAGAGTTCAGGTGATGCAACTCAATTTCAAGAACATTGGAAATAACTCCAGTACCACTCAAGGAAAAATCTGAAACAAATACACAAAAAAGTCACTAAACCCACTAAAAATAACTGTTAATTCTACCTTTATTGATAATATTGTGAAATTAAATGAATTGTGTTACTTGTGTTGCCATTATCTTTATGAACATTATAAATACACATGTGGCACATTTTAGCATTTTTGACCTTTTGACTCAGCTTAAATGTACAGCTGTATCATTATAAACTATTATAAACAAAACAACCTTGTATATGAAAACATGACAAAACGAAACAGAAAAAAATGACAGTAACGTACAGGGCGCAAAGAAAGTCATTTTTACAGCTTGCCATTCGGGCAAGCTGAAGCTAACATTTACTAGCCCAAACGTCATTTCAACTACCCACAAAATTTTTGATTTAACAGTTCTTCTGTAAGGTGAATTCCTCAAACTGCATTGTACTTGCCCGTCGGGCAAGTGAAGAACAGAATTTACTAGCCCGATAGCAAAATCCGCTAGCCCCGGGCTATCGGACACTACTTTCTTTGCACGCTGAACGTATATAAAATAAAGGCTCCACCCTACCCCTGTCAAAATCAATGGTACAAGTACAGGTATTACGCTCAATATGTCAATATAGCGCCAGAGGTAGTATAAATTACTCAAGCAATTAATCTTGAGCTACTTCTGCCAAATACCAATAAATTAGCATTTTAACATTGCATAACTACATATTTTGCTGACTTAACACCACTTAAATTTTTCAACAAGGCTTTTTTCAGCTGGATCACTACCACATACACGCACGCGACACGCGTGCTCATACATGTTACAAATGTAAATATGGATGCAAATGTAGTTTATTCCCGGTTATAACATAGATGTGGCAGTAGAAGCACGATATACAAAGCAAAATACATCGACTTTACCTTTTAAATTTCGAACATCCTTGAGAAGAAATCCAGCAACATAGGCAATCTCTTCCTCCCGCCAAATCGCCAAAAGACCGCGCGCCCGATTTCCCAAGCATTTGCGCCTGAGTGGTGCTGGTCAGCGACAGTCTGCATAAGGTAGGTACGTGGTGTAAGCATCATATAGTGGTTCCCCGTTAGCTAATATATGGAATACATTTCTCTCAATAGCTTTACATAGCCCTACATGATGCTTACACCACGTACCTACCCTGCATAACCGTTCGAGAACGAGGCACAACAATTGAAATTCGTCGACCGTTAACGCGTTCCACTGCCATCGATTTGCCATCAGCTTTTACTTCGTACGTTTAACGCCATATTTATCAAGAGGTTTCGAATTTTCCTTCTTTGTGGGGTTGACTGTCGAGTATGGAGGAATCGGCCAGTCTTATTTGTTCGAATTTATCGAACGAATGTGTCCTCGAAGAACTTATAAAAATAATCGCTCGAACTCGAGGGAACTGCTTACTTATTATTAGATCCTTCGACGAAAATCCACCATGAAAGACATCTAGATAGCTCCATCGGCGACGATCAAGTAGTAACGAGTGGATCCAAGAAAAGCAGCCGTTAGTACTTAGTAAATAGACTTCGGTGAATCGATGCTGTTTTAATTAGCAGACATTGTAAAACTAAGAAGAGGCAGGAGAAATGTTGAGGACAAACAAATGCTGAGGGAGCAACTAATCGGGAGTAAAAGAAATGCTCAGTAAGTATAAGAAAGTTCGTTGTTACTGTTAAGCCGCTAATGATGCTATTTGATAATACCTACATTTGCATTCCAATATTCAGTAATCAACAAGGACCACCCCTACTCCTGAAACTTTATTTGTCCTGTTGTTGTAAAAAATACTGTAATCTTTTGTTTGGTTGTTCTCTTCAGATAAATGGTCTTGGAAAATTTAATAAGAATTGAAGCAAGCGTTAATTCCCCTCTATTAGGCCAAAATTAACCTTATCCTCAAGTGCCTACTTTCTCCAAAGGCTTTTCCAAAATTTAAAAGGGGAGTAGAGGCAGTGACTGCCATGGTGCTGAAAACATAGTGTAGCTAGAATTTAGATCATGGTACCCTGCTTTCACTGATTGTTTTTTATGATCACCCCATGTAAGGGATTCTGGAATCCGGGAAATTTTTGCTTATGGAATCCAGAATTCGGGCAATTTTTGTTACGGAATCCTAAATTCTGAGCTTTGAAACCTGAAATACAAGTCAAACGATTGGAATCCAGAAACCAAGTAATCCACTGAAAAAGGTTCCGGAATCCGCAGCCTGGAATCCAGAATCTAAAACTGTCTTGGATTCTCTCATATGAGGCAATTATAGTATACCGTATTTATTCGAATAAGCGCCCAACCTCGAATTAGCGCCCACCTCGAATAAGCGCCCATCCCAAAGGCAGAAAAAGTTAATAAGCGCCTAGCCTCGAATAAGCGCCCACCCCACCCCACTCCCTCCCACACAAACTCAAATAAGACATAATAAGAGACCCTCCCGAAGACGGAGTTTTCTTCAGAGTATTTTACAGATTGGGCTGAAACCTTGCTTTGTTACTTCTTCGCTTTTTGTTATTACCATTTATTATTTTGTAGCAAAATAAACATACTACACTTGCTAAGAATGGCGAAAATTTAATAAGCGCCCAGCCTCGAATAAGCACCCACCTCGAATAAGCGCCCACTATCAAGGCCCAAAAATTTAATAAGCGCCCAGGGCGGTTAATCGAATAAATACGGTAATTAAACTTTTGTTCCCAAGATACACTGTAAGTGATGGCAATATTGCAGAAGAAGCAGGTTCATGAAGTTTTAAGTAATATGTCAATAATGTTGTTATGGTAGTGATGTAGTGGGACACTCACTATAAAATTAATACAATGATTTACCTGGAGTCAATTGTCTTGTTACAAAAGGGTTTCTCGCATTCATTTTTTCGTTTTGTTTTTGCTCAAAGAAGGTCTTAGTTTTAACAGGTACAGTGTAATCAGGATTATGATGACCGCTTGGGGTTAGATTTGAGACATGAAAGTTACGAGCCAGCAATTTGTTTAAACTAGTTAATTTTGATATCAGTTAACTCAGGAAATAAGTAAGTTTAGTCACCTAGTGTGACGGAGCCAGTAATAATACATGTAATATCTAATAGCAACCTTTTTTGCTATAAAAGGCTAGAATATTTAGACAGAAAAGGACAATAGTATTTTTCATGACAAGCATCTACAGCTTTAGTTTCAATATTAATGGTCTCAATTATGTATAATTTCTGTTTGTTGCAGAAAAAGCTGAAGAGACAACCCTTTTCCAGTCAACCTCTATTTCGAAGAAGGATTGTTGTAAGTTCAAAGCTTGTATAATTGTGGAGTACATGTCTTCAGAGCAAGGCAATACAGACCAAGGAGATGACAAATCCGAGAAAAGTGCTTTGCAGGAGGCCTCTAGCATGGAGGAGTCAACAACGTAGCCTGTAAAAACCTCTTTGCCAAGCTGAACAGTAAAGCAAAATTAAAACAGTCACATGTAAGCTTGTCATTACTCAATGACGATAGTAAGGACGAATGGCTTCTCCTCAGAGCAGGAGGCACCAGATAATGCTCCTGAATTTGCTTTGTGATAAGGAAATATAAGTTAATCCAAGGCTCTTAAAGAAATTCCAGATTATTTATGACTGGTCATACTTACAGGTACATGTACATGTAGCTCTGCAAATACAGTAATCCTTTAATCACTCTCTGTTTATGACACTGTTTTTTAGAAAAAGATAAATCTGTGTAAACAGTACAAATCCTGATGGTGTTGATTTGTCCTGAGAATTCTGGTGGCAGGTAGATCAAATTGGTTGATGTGATAAATTTTTCATTAGAATCCTTTGGCTATTGTTTGCAAGTAATGTACCAGTCAGCAGGTTAAAAAAGCCAATTTATTAATGTACACATGTTTCTTTTAAATCTGTTTGCTTAACTGCAGGCATTTGAGTTCTGCTGGCACCACTTCACGGTACATTTGTACCGATTACAGCAATTGCAACTGACCTGCTTGAACAAAAAAACAAAACAAATTTAGGTACACCCTGCTTTTTGTCATGATTTATTACAGAATTTTGCAAAGGATTGCAACATGACCCAAGAAAAAGAGTAATGAGAGACAGCAGTGTAGTTATTTTGCAGGCTAGCCAGATCAACCTTTTGTACTACATGTACATGTATACTGAGTTTAAAATAATTATTAGCTTCTTTCATTGGGACCAACTACAGTGACAATGGTAATGTTGACATGCTGTGGAATACTTATAGCTGGTCATTACTTTCATGACCCTCAATTTTCTTAGAACGGGGCAAGTACTAGAAGCTCCGGCTGGTACTTCCTCTAAGAGCATATCCAATACTATACAGGAACCATTAGCAACGAAAATGAAGTTAAAGAAGTCTGATCTGAATTTGAATAGCTATATGTACCTAAACTATTTCTTAGTTTGCTAAATGCTATAACACAGTTGTTATACCAGCAAAAATTGTAAATTGGTAGCAAGAATTAGGCCTTTCATGCTAATAGAGCCTAAAGGAAAAAATGCCACCAGAATCAAATTTTGTTTAATCTGTAAATAGCAATAAATACAAAAATACTAATTATTTATTAAAGTGGGTGTCTTGAGGGTTCCATTTAGTTGAAACAGGATTTGGTCCTTAGATACAAAAGTTTAAGTAAGAAATAGTCTTGTCACAAGTAAATATTGGTCCAAGGGTGAAAGGATTTTTAACCTGTTTCTGAGTTGCAAAAACCTAAAGAACTGAAATAGGTTTGAGGCAACTCTGAAACACCTACAGCTGTATGTAGAATATCTTACACATTTAGATGAAGAACACTTTTCTTATAATATTAATAGTTAGTAATGATCTGATAGAGCATAGAGTGGAGACAAGTAAACATCAACGAACAGTAAAATTGGGAATTAATATGAAGAGCTGTATGTACAGCTTTATACTGTAGTTTGTAATGTCTGTAATAAATGTAAGCCACTTTGGTTTATGGAATAAATCATTTGAACATTAATGGGAGGTCACTGCTAGAATTTCTTTCAGTAACTTTAATGTTTGATTAATTATGGCCACTTGTTAAGAAACTGAAGTGAGCCATATTATAATTTAAAATATTTTTAAAATTTTATCGCATTTGCTACAACCCAAGCAAACTCATTTAAACCTTGGAATTTACATTTGCTACTGGAGAAAACATGCTCAATTTTATGGGTTTGATGACATTTGTCAACCAAATTAAAGATAGAATTTGATTACATTTGCTACCTGAGCGAAAAATTGCACAATACTAACAGTTTGATCAGATTTGCTGCCCAAGCAACTTTGTTCAAAACTTGACTTTTGACCACATTTGCCGCTACAAGCAAAATTTTGTGTTTGATCAAATTTGCACACCCTAGAAAATTTGTTCAAAGTTTAGGTTTGCTAACATTTGCTTCGTGAGCAAACATGTTTAATACAAAGAGTTTGGTTACATTTGCCATGCAAAGCAATCTGGTTCAATTATGAAAATTTGATCACCCATGATAACCCAAGCAAACATTGTTCAAATTAGATACTTCGCTCACATTTGCAAAGCTGCGTAAACGTTCTGAAAATAACAGGTTTACATGCTTTTACATCTAAAGCAAAAGCTGTGCAAAACAGCAGATTTGCGCTATCATTTGCGTAATGTGCAAATATAGTTCAAAGAAACATATTTGCCTACACATTTGAACCATCTGCAAATGACCCTCAAATCCATGGCTGCCCATTATCTTTGCACCAAGATGTAAATGTTGTGCAAATGTGGCATTTACCGTCATTGCTACGGATAGCAAATCTAGTGCAATATCAGTCTTTGCTCTTGCGCAAAATTGTGCAAATGTGGTATTTGCTACACATTTACTGTAATTTGGCTACCCTAGTAAATCCATTTTTTCGTCCAGTGGTAGTGCCTCTGCCGTTTGCCAAAATACCGCTGGTTCCTTTAGCTGCACCTGTCAAGCCGGATTTACTGGAAACGGATTAATAACCTGTTTAGGTGACGTAAAATATTAAAAATAGAAATAGAAATAGAAAAGTGCTCAGGAATGGAGTTATTCCCTGTTCAAACGAATCGAGACATTTTTGAAACCGCAATTTTTTTCTTCCCCCAAATCGGCCCTCTGTCTCATCGGCGGAAACCAGTGAATCTGCTCACCAAAAACTATTTAATCTGCAACCGCTCTCAATTGCAACATCGAGTGGTTTATTAAACCACGTTCACACGAATCCAGGTAAAAAGATACACGGTTTCAAAACTGTCCTGATTCGTGTGAACGGGACCTTAAGATGGCTCCTTTGAAATTCCACTGAGCAAAGATATAACAGATCAGAAATGCCGAGTTTGGATCAGTCTGCTCCATTGGACACGCGCGTTTGAAACGTCAAACTGCACATTTGCCTGACCAGTCAGTAACGCGTGGGCATCTTCGCTGACCCAGGGGTAGTCAGTCGGGTTGCCATAAAAGGTATGCTTTCGTCACGCCTGTTTCTGCCGACCCGAATGACTGCCCCTGGGTCTCCGAAGATGTAACGCGGGCTAATCAACGAGAACTGAATAGATTTTGCTCAAGCTGTTTGCTCCTTGGCCTTTGGTTCAGTACATAAGAAGTTCCACTTTCGACCCGAGTCTAAGGCACTAGTGTTCACACAATATATACCGGATGCTTTTTGTACCGACAGGAAAAGCTACCGTAAAATTCCGAAAATAAGCCCCTCCATGTATAAGCCCCTCTAAATATAAGCCCCCCAAAATCGTAACGCAAAAATCCCTCCGTTAAATCGCCCCTCCAAATATGGGCTTGTATTTGGAATTTGCCCTCAAATACAAAGTAAAACACAGTAAAAATGGTTAATTTCCTTCCCACTGCAAGCTAGCCCAATCGATTTTGAAACGCAAATTTCCCTCCGTACATAAGCCTCTCACAAAGGGCCTTTGAGAAATATAAGATATCTAAAGGTATCTAAAGGTATGTACACCAATCCGCCAGTGAATCCCCACTTTAATGATCGGCGCGGCCCCGTCAACAGAAATCACACCGACAATCACCATTCCTGCACCATTTTTATGCTTGAACAGAAGCTCTGTCCGTATGGCTTTCGTGCTGGCGCAAAAGTATCCGGTTTAGTGTAGTGTAAACATAGCCAAATGCCAAATCTGGCATTTCATGGCCAGATTTGGTTGTTTTATGCTCAAAACTGTTACCGGTAATCCCCCAAAAAAAAAAAAAAAAAAAAAAAAAAAACTTGGTACTTTGCTTCATTCAAGTTTTGATTTGTTGCAACATTATATATTGATACATAAAGGTATATTATATGTACTTCTCTGAATCACGATGTTTTTTATCATTAAGATATCAACGAGTGTCTGTCTCCTTTCTGTGACGTAAACGCCGCCTGTTTGAACACTTTTGGTTCTGTTATTTGCATATGTAATCCCGGGTTTAATGGCGACGGACGAACTTGCACAGGTAAGATAATTATAAGAATACAAAGAAAGTTGTTCATTAAAAATTAATGTTTCACTGGTTCAAAAAAGGTCATCATCGTCAGTGCCTAAGGAATAAAATATATGTTAACGACAAAAGAAGTAAAGATCATGGATAATAATTAGGAGTAATTTATGGCGAGTACCAAATTGATTAACTTAAATTGTCATCATTTTCTCTTTAATATAAAATGGTAATTATAGATTTCCCAAATCATCGTCTTCTCTGGCCAGTTCCATGCTAATTACTACATTGAGTTATTAACAATTGTTTTCCGAAACCACACCTTGAAAAGGGTACATACAAGGAATTCCATGACAAACCCCAACACTCAAATTAATGGTAGACTAGAAAAAAGGAAAAACTATTATCAAAGAAATGGCGGAAAAAAAATTCCGATAAGCTGCGTGGCACTTTAGAAAGTGAGTAAGAGAATTTTCAATAAATTTAGAAGTAATGATGAACAAAAGTGCCGTGTTGTAGTTGGAGAAGTTCTTTCCAAACATTTCGGGCCTGACCCTTCATCAGTGGAGTTCCAAGTACGTTAAAATCGTTGCAAGCTTTGAAATAAAAAAAAATATTGAATAAACTTTGTAGTGCGGGCGAGGCTATGCGTGCGCAGTCTAGAGGAAACGGAAGAAGGAACATGTAAAAAAAAATGCCAAGAAACGGAAGGAAAATATCTGTTTAACCATACCTGATGACAAAAAGGTCGTATTTAAACCTCAAAACGAGTTTAGATTGTTATCGAGTTGATGCATGCATTACCGGGAATTCCTGAAAAGGATTTCGACGATACTGAGACCTCTGAAAATCTGAAGATGCATGTCCATTCATTTCTCACTAAACTTTTCAAGCCCCTGATGAAGACTAGTTTTGTCTAGTCGAAATATTGGGCAAATAAATTTGTAAACCTTAGCTATACTTCCGATCAGCCTTGCCTTCAATCTTAAATGTTCATTCAAGCCAGTGATGGGGTAGATTTCATGGCAATTCCCGAAAGAGCCTCCCTGGAGGTATCAAATTTTAAAGGTAATGATACTCCAAAAATTCCTGGTAAGTCTCTGCTTGCAAGGTACATTATCTTTACTTGACAATTTTAATTCTTTGATCTTTTTTTTGCAGCTATTACAGTACCCACAACACCTCCTACAACAGGTGCGGCCAAAGTTGTTTGTGTTGTTTTCAGTTTCCCCAAAATTGAATCTAAACTTATCCATTTTGGAGTTCTGGGCCAATTTTAGCGGCAAATTTGAACAGTAGTACCATTGGCTGGGATGTTGAATTCTGTCTTTTATCATCTGCCTTCAAAACCATCACTGACAGTGTTTCAAACAAAGAGAAAACTGAATATTATAAAATGTATTCTTCCCTCTCTCAGTTTAGCCCGAATCCATGCGCATGAAGAAAACTCAGAGAGAACTTCTAGTAAAGTAGAAAACACCTTTTTACCGATGGAGCTACCATTTTTGCTTTTCAAAGTCAATCTCTTTTTTTTTTTCGATGACCGCTTTGGACTGGGAATTATACGCGATAACAAACATAGAATTTTTCTCTGCTATTTTGATCGTTAATAGTTTGAAAACTGGCCAATGTAATTTTTATTACGCACTTTTTTTAAATTTGCAGTGCCAACGACAGCACCTGTTCCAACCACAGGTGAGGACTAGAATAAAATTTCACCCTACCACAAAAGACATAACCGTATCTTTGCACACCAAGAGATGTTTTTACACCCAGACCTTCAGATCTTATAAGAGGGTCGACCTCCCAACACCCCATCTTCTAGATCCCCTCCCTACATGACATTTCCATTCCCTCTACTTCAATTGTCAAAAAAACACGTTTTTTTCCGGAAATTGTTGTTTTCCTGAAAATTATAAGTAAACTTGATAACTATTTTGCTCATTTTTCTTTCCTCTTTTTTGTAATCGTAATGTTTAATTTATATTATATTAGATATCGACGAGTGCCTCTCTTCACCCTGTGACGCCAATGCCATTTGTCAGAATACCATTGGTTCCTTCACTTGCACGTGTATTGCTGGATTTACAGGAGACGGATTATCCTGCACGGGTGAGATTTAAATGAAAACGAGTTAACTACATGGCTTTTGTGTCGAATTTTTAAATATCACTTTTAACAGTTGTTACTCGTGACTCTCCTCTTATATCAGCCTTTATACTCAAAACTTGGAAAATATTTCCCATCGTTAGAGCTAAGAATATTTAAACAAAATCATTAATTCACCGCGGAATGACATATAGACGCAGTCAATCCACCAAAAAGGGCCATAAAAATCATTAATAAGAATAAACATTACTGGTATGTTTGTTCGGTTAAGATTTAAATACAACAACAAATTAAATAATAGCTTGCTAACAATATTGTAATTACCTTTCTTTTTTCAGCATTGCCCACTTCTGCAAGTAAGTGATGCTGGAATGCCCGGTTCGCACTGTTTTAACACCTTTCACCTTTCTGATGCTAAACGTCGTGGACTTATCCTTTAAAAAGATAATTTAAGGGAACGTCACCATTATATTAAAATCTGTTTTTGTGAAATGCTCAACTTACGTTTTAAGGTTTTTGTTATGCAAAGAAATGAGAAAAATGAAAGGACGGTTTTGCAGGTTAATACTTACCATTGTGTACAGCAGTAGTCTAAAGACCAGAGAGGTTACGCTAGGTGTCAACAGTCAGAGAAACGAAAGAACAACAACAACGAACAATGAAATCTAGCGCTTTCTAATACACTTAAGAGAAAGAATTTCAGAAAATTGTAATGAACGACTTAATCAGTAGATTTAAAGAAATTTGCATACACTTGGGGCTAATCATAGAGATTAGCAAATTGACATTCTAGAACGTTCCTGTCCAAAAGTAGTATCGTAGTAAATGAGTTCTGAAAAGTTTTAGACGTCATACCCAGTGCTAGTACTGGACACAGACACAAGAAACGGGTAATTACGTACCCCTATCCCGACAATTTTTTGCTGTTGGACACTAGATCTAGAGTGGGTATCCTATGCGAGGTTGAACATATTAATAAGCCACTGTTTCTATCATAGTTGGAAAACTGGCCTTGAATTTTTAAATTGCATTTTTTTAATTTGCAGTGCCAACGACAGCACCTGTTCCAACCACAGGTGAGGACTAACTTAAAATTTCACGCTCCCACAAATGACATAAAAATAAAATCTTTTCATACAACACACCAAGGGATGTTTTTACATCCGAATCTTCAGGGCGGGGATTGTGGGAAAGGGGGAGGGTTGCTGATCTCTGACCAAAACAAGTTATGTCGGCACCACGACCCGCAAGCCTCGGGGATTTACCGCAAAAGTAGTAATTAAGAGGGTCGGCCCCCGAATACCCCATCCACTAGATCCCCTCCCTATATGACAGTTCCATTCCCTCCTCTTCAATTGTCCAAAAAATTCGTTTTTTTCCGGAAATTGTGGTTTTCATGAAAATTATAAGTAAAATTGATAAACTGTTTTGATCATTTTTCTTTCTTCTTTTTTGTAATCGTAATGTTTATTTTATATTATAGTAGATATCGACGAGTGCCTCTCTTCACCCTGTGACGCCAATGCCATTTGTCAGAATACCATTGGTTCCTTCACTTGCACGTGCATTGCTGGATTTACAGGAGACGGATTATCCTGCACGGGTGAGATTTTAATAAAACGGGTTAACTACGTGGCTTTGTGTCGAATTTTTGAAACATCATTTTTAACAGTTGTTACTCGTGACTCTGCACTTATATCAGCCTTTACTCAAAACTTAGAAAATATTTTCCATCGTTATAAGTAAGAATATTTAAGCAAAATCATTATTTCATTGCTAAATGACATATAGACGCCGTCAATCCATCAGAAAGGGCCAAAAAATCATTAAAAAGAATATTTAACATTACTGGTATATGTGTTTGTTCGGTTAAGATTTAAATATAGCAACAAATAATAACTTACTAACAATATTGTAATTACCTTTCTTTTTTCAGCACTGCCCACTTCTACAAGTAAGTGATGCTGGAATGCCCTGTTCGCACTGTTTTAACACCTTTCACCTTTCTGATGCTAAACGTTGCGGACTTTTCCTTTAAAATGATAATTTAAGGGAACGTCACCATTATTTTTAAATCTGTTTTTGTCAAATGCTCAACTTACGTTTTAGGTTTTTGTTTTGCAATGCCTTACGAGAAAAATAAAAGGACGGTTTTGCAGGTCAAATACTTACCATTTTGTACAGCAGTAGGTTTGTCCGACCACAGAGGTTTACGCTGCGGTGAACAGTCAGAGAAAAGAAAGAACAACGACAACGAACAATGAAATCTAGCGCTTGCTAATAAAATTCAGAGAAAGGATTGTAGAAAATTGTAATGAACAACTTAAGCAGTAGATTTATGGAAATTTGCTTACACTTCGGGCCAATAATAGAGATTAGCAAATTGACATTTTAGAACGTTCTTGTCGAAAAGTAGTATCGTAGTAAATGAATTCTGAAAGGTTCCAGACGTCATACCCAGTGCTAGAACTGGACACAAACACAAGAAACGGGTAATTACTTACCCCTATCCCGACAATTTTTTGCTGTTGGACACTAGAGTGGGTATCCTATGCGAGGTTGAGCATATTAATAAGCCACCGTTTCTATCATAGTTGGAAAACTCGCCCTGAATTTTTAAATTGCATCTTTTTAATTTGCAGTGCCAACGACAGCACCTGTTCCAACCACAGGTGAGGACTAGATTAAAATTTCACCCTTCCACTGAAAAGATAAAAATAATAATAGTATGGTAGTAGGATGAGTACTTTTTAAAACATTCTAGACATGATAACAGTAGTAATCTTGAAACAGCAAAACACTTCGCCCATCCTGACGGCAACTTTTGTTGTTGTGATGAGACTGGACTGGAAATTTCTTTGTGAGGGTGAACATAGTATACGCCACTGTTTCAATGATAGTTGGAAAACTAGCAGACATTGTAACATGTTGTAGTTCTTATTACATCTTTTTCAATTTGCAGTGCCAACGACAGCACCTGTTCCAACCACAGGTGAGGACTAGATTAAAATTTCACCCTCTCACTGAAAAGATGTAACATACCAAGAGATGCTTTTACATCAGTTTCTTCAGATGGCGGGGGCGGGGATGGTGGGAAGGGTGATGATCTCTGGCCAAAACAAGTTACCACCGTACGTTTGGTGCCACGACCCGCAATCCTCGGGGTTTGCCGCAAATTAAAGTAATTAAGAGGGTCGGCCCCAGAACACCCCATCTTCTACATCCGCTTTCTACATGACATTTCCATTCCCTCTCCTTCAATTGTCAAAGAAACATTAAGTCTTTTTCCCAGGAAATTGTTTTTTTTTTTTTTTTTTTTTTTTTTTTTTTTTTTTAATAATTTTTTTATTTATTTACAACACAAGCACTACTTACAAAATGTTACTTAACACAACTTACAGTGCTTACACTACTTACAAAACCGTACTCATTACTTTTTTTACATAGAAAGAAGAAAAGAAAGTTACAATTACAAATATTGACGACTATAACTTAAACTAAAGTGATTACTAACATAATTTACAATACTAACACTATAAACACAGAGGCAACAGAAAAGTATAAGAGGATTATATATAGATTAAGTATAAGTGTTTTTCTTTTTATTTAGAAGGATAAGTAAAGAGAACTGAACGGCCTAGACTGTAATAATAATAATACTAATAATAATAAAGCGTTACGCGGTGCACAATATCGGTTTTCCTGAAAATTATAAGTTAAAACTGATAAACTATTTTGATCATTTTTGTATTTTCCTTTTTGTATTCGTAATGTTTTTATTTATTAGATATCAACGAGTGCCTCTCTTCACCCTGTAACGCCAATGCCATTTGTCAGAATACCATTGGTTCCTTTACTTGCACGTGTATAACTGGATTTACAGGAGACGGATTTACCTGCTTTGGTGAGATTTAAATAAAAACGAGTTAACTACATGACTTTTGTGTCAAATGTTTTTAAATACGTTCCTTTTATAGCCACTTTAGGCTTCGTTACGCTCTTTTTTTGTTCTTATTGGATTTGAATTAAAGGCTTTTCTCTATAAAAATTTAGAGCAAAGCCCCTTTACCCACAGCGAACTAATGCAAAGACTTCTTTATGAAGCTGTGTTGTCCATTAAGTCTTCATACAACACCGCTGATTGGTAGCTTTATGCAAAATCTGGAAAAGATTTCCCATTTTAAAAGTAAAAAAATATATATTAAATAAGTCATACTCATTATTTCATTGCCGAAAAGAATGATAGACGCACTCAGTTTATCTAAAAGGGCAACAATTCATTAAAAAGAATAAATATTGCTTGTATATTTGTTCGTTTAGATTGTTTCAATTCTTAAAATTTAAATACAACAACAAATAATAGCTTGCTAACAATGTTGCAATCAACCTTTATCTTTCAGCATTGCCAACTACTACAAGTAAGTGATGATACTAAAATTTTTGGTTCACTGTGTGAGTAACAGTTTTCACCTCTGATGCTAACGTTGTGGACGTCCCCTTTAAAGATCTTTAAAAAGATCATTTACGGGGACGCCTATTCCTTAAAGCTGTCAATTTTTGTCAAATGTTCAACTTACGTTTTGGGCTATTTTTATGCGTGAGAGAAATAGAAAGACGGTTTTGCAGCAGGTCAGTACCTACAATTTTGTACAGCAGTTGTTTTTTCAGGTAAAGGTTCGTTGAGTCGACGACGTGTCGTGCAACACAAACTTCATCACATCAGGACAAAACAGAGATTACTCTCCAAGCGTTTTCCGATCATTCCCCGAACAGAGGAAAGAAATCATATCAACAACCCAAAATGCAATCTGCTCTTGCTAAACACACTTTAAAGAAAGGATTCTACCTATAAAATTTTAAGGAAGTACTTAATCAGTTGATTGACAGAAATTTACCATTCGGACAGGAACCCATATGGGCTGGCCTGCTTTGGGTTATAAATAGGATTAGCAAATTGTTCTTCTAGAACTATTTCTTTAAAAGTATGGTAGTAGGATGAGTACTTTAAGGTTCTAGACATCATAACAGTAGTAATCTTGAAACAGCAAAACACTTCGCCCGTCCTGACGGCAACGTTTGTTGTTGTGGTGGAACTGGACTGGAAATTCTTTGTGAGGCTGAACGTAGTATACGCCATGCACTGTTTCAATGATAGTTGGAAAACTGGCAGACATTAGGATTCTTATTACATCTTATTCAATTTGCAGTGCCAACGACAGCACCTGTTCCAACCACAGGTGAGCATTGCAATAAAATTCTTCCTCCCACAAAAGGGCATAAAACATCTTGCAGATGAGGTACCAGGGGACTTACATCATATTGTGCATTCCAGGGGGGGAGCAATCAAGACCTTACGGAGGGGGGATCGAAGAGGGTTTCGTCATCTGAGACCGAATTATGTTGGCGCCTGGAACCCGCGAGCCTCGGATCCGTTTGGTAGAAATTTAAGAAGGGCAGACCCAGAGGCCCTTTATTATTGCTGTAAATGTTATTTTTCTTTTTATTTAATCGTAAACTTTTGTATTTAACAGATATCGACGAGTGCCTCTCTTCACCCTGTGACCCCAATGCCGTTTGTCAGAATACCATTGGTTCCTTCACCTGCACGTGCAATGCCGGGTTTACAGGAGACGGATTATCTTGTACCGGTAACATAAAAAATCGTGTTAACGATACGACTTTTAAGTCATGTCATTTTTATTCAATACATATCTTGTCCGCTATCACCTAGTACGGCTTGTAGGGACTTCATACTGACAAAAATTAATTAGAGACTTAAAATTAGTTTTTAGACTACTTATTACCCAAGTATATCATGGGGACTTTTTAAGGTGACTGATGACGAAGATTATGAATAAGATTTCATCACTTTTTTTTCAACAGATATCAATGAGTGCATGAATTCACCATGTAGTACCTTTGCGGTTTGTCAGAATACCGTTGGTTCCTTTAGTTGCACCTGTAATGCCGGATTTACTGGAAATGGATTATCCTGTTTAGGTAACATAAAATCTCTAATTTTACATTAATTGAAATATTAAAGTGCCCAGCCTTTGTAATTCTTCCGTCCCTTAGGCCTTGGCCCGGGGGGGGGGGAAGGGGGGGCATCTCGGGAATTTTTGGTGGGGGTGTGCCTCCCGGTTCTCCAAATGCTGACCCTATTTTGGACCAAAAATTGTCATTTTTCACACTGGTTTTCAAACCTGGCTCGCCTCTAAAATCCATACCTATTCTCAGACCTGGCCTTTAAGAAATTACGTCATCATTACTTAGATTAAAGCAGCAACAAAAAAGATTTCCTAAAATCCATTTCGAATTCGCATATCTCTCTTTCTTTCTTACACATTTGGAATTGAAACGGTAAATACCTTCGTACACTCACGCAGTTCCCTTGAAAACCACACCCGATTCCAGACCAAAATGAGCAAAGTCTATTCTTGTTTTCAGACCAAAGCGGTGCAAAAACCCAGGGGCGGTACATATCTATATATAGGGGAGTACCCCCGGAGGGTCTCGGAGAAACGTCAAACTTCACATTTCAGCCCATGTCAGGTAATCTGGATTCCTGAATCCTGGAATTTTTTGCTTTTGGAATGCGGAACAGTTTGCTCAAGGACCCGGAATCCCGTGAACGCTGGGAATCTGGAATCAAAGTTACACTGACAAGGATTCGGAATCCAATAACTGGAATCGAAGTGAAGAGAATCGGTCATGTCGCCGGGTGCTCCGCACGTGCCGGTTTAAAACTCAAAACGTACTAATGCCTTATATAGTAAACTAAAATGAGTTATGAGTTGTCCTGCCTTGATTAGCATTATAGCTATTTGCAGGACATAAAGTATTGCAAACTTTATAATTATATTTCTTTAAATAAATACATTGCTGTTGTTGTTGTTGTTGTTGTTGAATCTGGAATCCACAGCGTGGAATCAAGAGTGGCTAGACTGTCTTGGATGATCTTGCATGGAGCGATCTCATTTGCCAAATAAAGTTTTGATTTATTATATCGTTATACATTTAAAACTTAATGACTGGTTCCGAGGAAAACAAAATTAACTGTTTCCCGAAAGAACAGTCTTTAAGTGAATTGTTATATAGCTGGAAATTTTGAAACTGGAAATTCATTAAACCTCGCCGTCACGGAGGTCGTCGGTCAACATTCGAGGGTAACAGTGCACTGTTACCCTTTGACGTCATAGATTTTGCGATATTGCCTGCTCAGAGATTTTGGCGGGAAACATTTTCATTGTTAGATGTCATGTGACCTCGAAGTAACCAATGAGAGCGCGCTGGGAAAAAAAATCCAGCTGTATAACAATGATAAATAAGTATCATATTCATGCTTTCTGAATCATGATGTTTTTGATCATCAAGATGTCAACGAATGTTCCACGTCTTCACCCTGTGGCGTCAACGGCGCTTGTTTGAACCTGTTCGGTTCTTTTCTTTGCATATGTTTCCCCGGATTTAATACCGACGGAAGAAATTGCACGGGTAAGATATAGTTACAAAGAGAATTATCCACCAAAATTAGTCCGTTGATGATAGAAACAAAATGTTACATTTAGTGCCTAAAATAAAAACTAATGATAAATAGAGGTAACGCATGGGTTTCAATTTTGTTGGGTGTATTACGCAAATGTTTAACGGCGACTTTGTTACTGGCGGTTATGGTGGGACATTTTTTTCCTTGTCCCTTTCCACGATATAATTAACTTCAGTGCAGTGTTTCGATATGGTATTAGCCGCCAGATGGAGTTTCGTAAAGACACTCTAACTTTAGAGTCTGCGGACGAAATCCTATGATGTGACCATTCAAATAAAAGCTCTGTGCCTGTACTTATATACACATGGTGCTATTTGTTTTTTCAAAATTTCACAAAATGAAATTTTCATGGGAAATCTGGTTAATTTTAATAAACCGTGGTAGACAAAACGGGCGAAGAAGGGAGTGACTAGTACAGTGTACTTTTTTATTTATGTTCTTTCCTCTATTCATAGATATCAACGAGTGCCTTTCGTCTCCCTGTGACGTGAATGCCAACTGCCTGAACACCATCGGTTCTTTTCAGTGTTCGTGTAACGCTGGATTTACTGGAGACGGAATCACTTGCTCAGGTATTTAAAAAGAAATAGTTATAGCTAAAAGAATAGACCTTCCCCGTATTCTTGGGCGTAGAGCCACCAAGGGGAGGGGGAGGTTGTGAGTGTTTGGGGGGTGGGGGGGGGGGGGGGTTGGGAGGCAAATCAACAAAGTTTTGTGTGTTATACAGGATACAGGGAGGCTAACAGCTGGACTTCCCGAGGTCCCGTTTCTTACCCTTTTATTTACCATTTTCATACAACTTTCATCGCTAAAACAGGAAGTCTTCTTGTTCTTTTCGTGTAGCGTTTAGTAAATTAAAATGATATAGCCATAGGGCGAGTTTTTCGAAACATTTTAATAAAAGGACCCTTTCATATACTAAAAATAACTAGTGAATTTCCAGTACCTGTTCGATATACCAGAAGCTTGAAAAAGGTACCTCTTACGAGTGGAGCCCCACCTCTGGGATGTAGGCCATTATAGGGAGTGTCCCCTGGAGGGCTCAATAAAGCCGGGGAAGGTCCATTTATACCGTACAAAGAACTAAAAATAAAAGCCAAACCTTGCAACGATTATAACGTAGTTGTAACTCCACTGATGAAGGGTCAGGCCCGAAATGTTTCGAAAGAAACTCCAAGACAACAAAGCACTTTTGTTCATCATTACTTCTAAATTTATTGAAAGTTACTTTCTAAAGTGGCATACGCAGCTTATCGAATTTTTTTCCGCTATTTCTTTGATGATAATTTTTCCTTTTATTCTAATACTATTAATTTTAGTGTTGGGGTTTGCTATGGTATTCCTTGTACCCTTTTCAAGGCGTGGTTTTCGAAAACAATAGTTAATAACTCAATGTATTAATCAGCATAGAACTGACCAGAGAAGACGATGGTTTGGGAAATCTATAATAACCATTTTATATTAAAGAGAAAATCAGGACAATTAGGTAGTAGGTAATTAGGTATTTAAACCTCAAAACGAGTTTTATAATTAGATTGTCAGCGAGTTGATGCATTGCTACCGGGAATTCCTGCAAAGGATTTCGACAATACTTAGAGCTCTGAAAATCTCAAGATGTATGTCCATTCATTTCTCACTAAACTTTTCAAGCCCCTGATAAAGACTAGTTTTGTCTAGTCGAAATATTGGGCAAATAAATTTGTAAACCTTAGCTGTACTTCCCATCAGCCTTGCCTTCAATTTTAAATGTTCATTCAAGCCTGTTATGGGGTAGATTTCTTGGCAATTCCCGAAAGAGCCTTCCTGAAAGGTATCAAATTCTAAAGGTATTGGTACTCCAAACATTCCTGGTAAGGCTCTGCTTGCAAGGTACATTGTCTTTAGTTAACAATTTTAATTCTTTGATCCTTTTATTTTGCAGCTGTACCCACAACAGCTCCTACAACAGGTGCAGCCTAAGTTGTTTGTGTTGTTTTCAGTTTCCCTAAGTTGAATCTATTGGAATTCTGGCCCAATTTTAGCAGCAAATGTGAACAGTAGTAATATTGGCTGGATGTTGAATTCTATCTCTTATCATCTGACTTTAAAACTATCACAGTATTTCAAACAAGGAGAAACCTGAATATTATAAAATGTATTTTTCCCTCTTTCAGTTTAGCCCGAATCCACGAATCCCGAATCCCGAATCCAATCTAGTAAAGAGGAAAACATCTTTTTACCGATAAAGCTACCATTGTTGCTTTTCAAAGTCAATCTCTTGTGGTATCACCCTTCACCTCATGTACGCCTCATTATACGACGATATACACGGCAAACCACCAATCCCCCACAAGGACGGAGTTCTTTTTCGATGACTGTGCATTGGACTGGGAATTACAGGAGATAACAAACATAGTATTTGTCTCTGTTATGTTGATAGTTAATAGTTTGAAAGCTGGTCAATGTAATTTTTACCATGCACTTTTTAAATTTGTAGTGCCAACGACAGCACCTGTTCCAACAACAGGTGAGTACTAGATTAAAATTTCACCCTTCCACTGAAAAGATGTAACATACCAAGAGATATTTTTACACCCGTATCTTCAGATGGCGGGGGCGAGGATGGTGTGAAGGGGATGATCTCTGGCCAAAACAAGTTATCACCGTTTGGCGCCACGACCCGCAATCCTCAGGGGTTTGCCGCAAAAGTAATTAAGAGGGTCGGCCCCCGAACACCCCATCCTCTACGTCCGCTCCCTACATGACATTTCCATTCCCTCTCCTTCAATTGTCCAGGAAATATTAAGTCTTTTTCCAGGAAATTGTGGTTTTTCTGAAAATTATAAGTAAAATTGATAAACTATTTTGATCATTTTTCTTTTTTCTTTTTTGTAATCGTAATGTTTTCATTTATTAGATATCAACGAGTGTCTCTCTTCACCCTGTGACGCCAATGCCGTTTGTCAAAATACCATTGCTTCCTTCACTTGCACGTGTATTGCTGGATTTACAGGAGACGGATTATCTTGCACGGGTAAGATTTAATTAAAAAACGAGTTAACTACATGACGTGTGTGTCAAATTTTTTAAATATGTTCCTTTTATACCCACTTACGGCTTTGTTACGTTTTTTTTTGTTCATATTGGATTTGAATTAACGGATTTTCTCTATAAAAATTTAGAGCAAAGCCCCGTTTACTCACAGCCAACCAATGCAAAGACTTCTTTATGAAGCTGTGTTGTCCATTAAGTCTTCATACAACACCGCTGATTGGTAGCTTTATGCAAAATCTGAAAAAATTTCCCATTTTAAAAGTAAAATATATATATATATATATATATTAAATAAGTCATACTCCTTATTTCATTACCGAAAAGAATGATAGACACACTCAGTTTATCAAAAAAGGCAACAATTCATTAAAAAGAATAAATATTGCTGATATATTTGTTCAGTTTAGATTGTTTCAGTTCTTAAAATTTAAATACAACAACAAATAATAGCTTGCTAACAATGTTTCAATCAACCTTTATTTTTCAGCATTGCCAACTACTACAAGTAAGTGATGATACTAAAATGTTTGGTTCACTGTTTTAACAGTTTTCACCTCTGATGCTAACGTTGTGGACGTCCCCTTTAAAGATCTTTAAAAAGTTAATTTACGGGGACGCCTATTACTTAAACCTGTCCGAGTTTTCGTCAAATGTTCAACTTACGTTTTCGGCTGTTTTTATGCGTGAGAGAAATAAAAGACGGTTTTGCAGATCAGTACCTACCATTTTGCACAGCAGTTGTTTTGTCAGGAAAAGGTTCGTTGAGTCTACGAGGCGTCGTGCAACACAAACTTTATCACTTCACGCCAAAAGAGAGTTTGCTTTCCAAGTGTTCCCCCGCCGAGCAGAGGAAAGAAATCATATCAACAACCCATAATGCAATCTGCTCTTGCTAAACACACTTTAAAGAAAGGATTTTAAGGAAGTACTTAATCAGTTGATTTACAGAAATTTACCATTCGGACAGGAACCCATATGGGCTGGCCTGCTTTGGGCTAATAATGGGATTAGCAAAATTGTTCTTCTAGGACTCTTTCTTTAAAAGTATGGTAGTAGGAGAGTACTTTAACGTTCTAGACATCATAACAGTAGTAATCTTGAAACAGCAAAACACTTCACGCATCCTGACGGCAACTATTGTTGTTGTAATGGAACTGGACTGGAAATTTCTTTGTGAGGGTGAACATAGTATATAGCACTGTTTCAATGCTAGTTGGAAAACTGGCAGACATTAGGGCCATTTATACGAGGAAAAATAAGACGCGTCTTACATAAGACGCGTCTTAAGTAAGACGCGAACTGTACCATTTATACGAGCATATCTTATCTAAGACAAGAACAGCTCGTATAAATGGTTCGCGTCTTATTTCGGTTCTTGACTCGTTTTCATGTGAATGTTACCCGTAACAACGGCAATCCAACGTGGCGTGCCAAAAATTTACGCATGCGTATTATGCGTTCGCGTCTTATGTAAGACGCGAAGGCCATTTATACGAAGTTTTTCTCGTCTTAGCTAAGACGCGTCTTATCTAAGAACAGGTGTTAAGGGCTGTTCTAAAATAAGACGCGTCTTAGCTAAGCCTCGTCTTATTTTAGACGAAATGTGCCGTTTATACGGAAAGTTCGCGTCTTATGTAAGACGCGTCTTATTTTTTCTCGTATAAATGGCCCTATTGTAACATGTAGTAATTCTTATTACATCTTTTTCAATTTGCAGTGCCAACGACAGCACCTGTTCCAACCACAGGTGAGCATTGCAGTGTAAAATTTCTTCCTCCCACAAAAGGGCATAAAATGTCTTGCATATGAGTTACCAGGAGACTTGCATCATATTGTGCTTTCCGGGGGGGAGGGTCCAGATCTTACGGAGCGAGGATCGAAGAGGGTTTCCTCTCTGAGACCGAATTATGCATGTCGGTGCCTCTAACCAGCGAGCCTCGGATCAATTTGGTAGAAATATAAGAAGGGCAGCCCCAGAGGCCCTTTATTATTGTTGTCAATGCTATTTTTCTTTTTTGTAATCATAATCTTTTGTATTTAACAGATATCGACGAGTGCCTCTCTTCACCCTGTGACGCCAATGCCATTTGTCAGAATACCATTGGTTCCTTCACTTGCACGTGCAATGCTGGGTTTACAGGAGACGGATTATCTTGCACTGGTAAGATAAAAAATCGTGTGAACGGTACGACTTTTACGTCATGTCATTTTTATTCAAATACATATCTTGTCCACTATCACCTAGTACAGCTTTGTAGGGACTTAATACTGACAAAAATTAATTAGAGACTTAAAATTAGTTTTTATACTACTTATTAACCAAGTATATCATGGGGCCTTTTTAAGGTGACTGATGACGAAGATTATGAAGATTTCATCACTTTTTTTCAACAGATATCAATGAATGCATGAATTCACCATGTAGTGCCTTTGCGGTTTGTCAGAATACCGTTGGTTCCTTTAGTTGCACCTGTAATGCTGGATTTACTGGAAATGGATCATCCTGTTTAGGTAACATAAAATCTCTAATTTTTCGTTAATTGAAATATTAATTAAAAGTGCTCAGCCTTTGTACCGTCCCTTGGGCCTTGGCCCTCGGAGGGGGGGTATCTCGAGAATTCTTGGTGGGGGTGTGCCACCCGGTTCCTGGTTCTCCAAATGCTGACCCTATTGTGGACCAACAAATGTCATTTTTCACACGGCCTTTAAGAAATTATGTCATCATTACTTAGATTAAAGCAGCAACAAAAAATATTTCTTAAAATCCATTTCGAATTCGCATATCTCTCTTTCTTTCTTACACATTTGGAATTGAAACGGTAAATACCTTCTTACACTCACGCAGTTCCCTTAAAAACCATACCCGATTCCAGACCAAAATGAGCAAAGTCTATACTTGTTTTCAGACCAAAAACCCTGGGGCGGTACATATCTATATATAGGGGAGTACCCCCCCCGGAGGGCCTCGGAGAAACGTCAAACTTCATATTTCAGCCCATGTCAAGTAATCTGGATTCCTGAATCCTGGAATTTTTTGCTTTTGGAATGCTCAAGGACCCGGAATCCCGTGAACGCTGGGAATCTGGAATCCAAGTTACACTGACAAGGATTCGGAATCCAATAACTGAAATCGAAGTGAAGAGAATCGGTCATGTCGCCGGGCGCTCCGCACGTACCGGTTTAAAACTCCAAACGTACCAATGCCTTATATAGTAAACTAAAATGAGTTATTGTATTTCTTTTCTTTTCTTTTTTCTTATGTAGTTTAATAACGTTATTATTTAAAGTCTTGTCCTGCCTAGATTAGCATTATAGCTATTTGCAGGAAATAAAGTATTGCAAACTTTATAATTATATTTCTTTAAATAAATACATTGCTGTTGTTGTTGTTGTTGTTGTTGTTGAATCTGGAATCCACAGCGTGGAATCAAGAGTGGCTAGACTGTCTTGGATGAGCTTGCATGGAGCGATCTCATTTGCCAAATGAGCGAGAACAAAACATTTTGGCCCAACACCTGTGATTAGTTCCACGTTTGACCCTGCGCGCCTTAAAGTTTTGATTTATTATATCGTTATCCATTTAAAACTTAATGACTGGTTCCGAGGAAAACAAAATTAACTGTTTCCCGAAAGATCAGTCTTTAAGTGACTTGCTATATAGCTGGAAATTCATTAAACCTCACCGTCACGGAGGTCGTCGGTCAACATTCGAGGGTAACAGTGCACTGTTACCCTTTGACGTCATAGATTTTGCGATGTTGCCTGCTCAGAGATTTTGGCGGGAAACATTTTCATTGTTAGATGTCATGTGACCTCGAAGTAACAGCGCGCTGGGAAAAAAAATTCCAGCTATATAACAATGATAAATAAGTATCATATTCATGCTTTCTGAATCATGATGTTTTTGATCATCAAGATGTCAACGAATGTTCCACGTCTTCACCCTGTGGCGTCAACGGCGCTTGTTTGAACCTGTTCGGTTCTTTTCTTTGCATATGTTTCCCCGGATTTAATAGCGACGGAAGAAATTGCACGGGTAAGATATAGATACAAAGAGAATTATCCACCAAAATTAGTCCGTTGATGATAGAAACAAAATGTTACATTTAGTGCCTAAAATAAAAACTAATGATAAATAGAGGTAACGCATGGGTTTCAATTTTGTTGGGTGTATTACGCAAATGTTTAACGACGACTTTGTTACTGGCGGTTGTGGTGGGACATTTTTCTTCCTTGTCCCTTTCCACGATATAATTAACTTCAGCGCTGTGTTTCGATATGGTATTAGCCGCCAGATGGAGTTTAGTAAAGACACTCTAACTTTAGAGTCTGCGGACGAAATCCTATGATGTGACCATTCAAATAAAAGCTCTGTGCCTGTACTTACACATGGTACTATTTGTTTTTTCAAAATTTCACAAAATGAAATTTTCATGGGAAATCTGGTTAATTTTAATAAACCGTGGTAGACAAAACGGGCGAAGAAGGGAGTGACTAGTACAGTGTACTTTTTTGTTTATGTTCTCTCTTCTATTCATAGATATCAACGAGTGTCTTTCGTCTCCCTGTGACGTGAATGCCAACTGCCAGAACACCATCGGTTCTTTTCAGTGTTCGTGTAACGCTGGATTTACTGGAGATGGAATCACTTGCTCAGGTATTTAAAAAGAAATAGTTAGCTAAAAGAATAGACCTTCCCCGTATTCTTGGGCGCAAAGCCACCAAGGGGAGGGGGAGGTTGTGGGTGGGGGGTGGGGCAACTCAACAAAGTTTTATGTGTTATACAGGGAGGCTCCAGCCTCCCTGTATAACCGCTGGACTTCCCGAGGTCCCGCCTCTTACCCTTTTATTTACTATTCTCATATCAACTTTCATCGCTAAAACAGGAAGTCTTCTTGTTCTTTTCGTGCATCGTTTAGTAAATTAAAATGATATAGCCATAGGGTGAGTCTTTCGAAACATTTTAATAAAAGGACCCTTTCATATACTAAAAATAACTAGTGAATTTCCACTACCTGTTCGATATACCAGAAGCTTGAAAAAGGTACCCGTTACGAGTGGAACCCCACCTCTGGGATGTAGGCCATCATAGGGAGTGCCCCCTGGAGGGCTCAATAAAGACAGGGAAGGTCCATTTATACCGTGTAAAGAACTAAAAATAAAAGCCAGAACAGGAACTGTGGACTGACGTTAGAAATACCACAACAATGGATAATTTATCTTAGCAGTCAGACTCTTTTGAGTATATCGAATCGTTCCCAGTCCTTCTTATTTGTTGTTATTGAGAGCTATGATGCCTGAGGGTCGCCTGGGGGTAAGCTATGCTCTTTGAAAGACAAAACTGAAAAGTGGGTGTGTTGTTTCCAATTTCTTTCGTTTGGTCCTTTTCTGATCATCATTTTGAATTCTTGGTCTTAGCTAACCCAAAGCTCTGTAAATACCCTTGAACGTTAACAAGCAATTCTTACCATAATAGGTTAAGCGATCTTAAAAAACCTTCTTCTGTTTAGAGTATTTTGCCAGTAAGCAGACATCCGCCAGTGCACGAGATTATTTTAGCAAGAAATGCATTAGAACTATTCTCCTTTCCCTCTTGCCAGTTTAGCAATCCATTATTTTTTGTAAAACGAAAACGTACTTCATGATGATCGGAGCATGCAGTTTGAGCGAGATGAAAACTAAAATGCCTTTCTTGCATCCCATAATAAGCCCAAAGACTAAGCTACAAAAAAACGAAAAGAATAACTTACAGGGAAGAGAAAGAAGTAACGTTTTTCAAAATCCAGCTACATAATTATTCAGTTTTAACTTATAAATTTTACACGAATATTCATGAACGGGTGGTGAATACACAAATACATCCACCCATCCACCTATTTTTAAAAAAACTACAAAGCAAAATAAAAACTGTTTTATTAATTTTAATCTTGCAGTACCAAGCACAGCTCCTCCTCCTCCTCCTACAACTGGTGAGTGAGTTTTCTAAGGAAGACCTCAACCCTCCAACCTCATTCTACGAGATAATCAAAACTGGTTTTCCGACTGGGAGCATCCGTTTATTGATAAACCAATGGTCATAAATGTGCCCGCTGTACCAAGCGCACTGCTATAAGCTTGTGTTAGAATATTATATCCCCTCAACAAGCAGCACATTCAAGCAAGATCTCCCTTAATTCATTACGTTCTCGAGTACGCCGCCAACACAAAATCGAGAAGTGAAGGGAGGCTTTGATAACAGGCCAAAGTTGCAATTATAAAATACATGACTCACATTCTTTTACGATCGATCAATTGCTAGATTTTGAACGAGTGCCTCTCTTCACCCTGTGACACCAGCTCGACAAAATATGGGATCGAGGCTCCAGCCCGAGGTCCAGCCTCTTACCCTTTTATTTACCATTTTCATATCTGCACCTTTCATCGCTAAAACCGGGAGTATTAATCTTCTGGGTGTTTTGTCTCCAATATTTTTTTCGTTTGGTCCTTTTCTGGTCAAATCTTTCCCAGGAGCGGAGGGAAAGAAGGCTGCGGAAGATTTGTCTTTAACGTTCTTTTTACTCTTTTTTTTTTAGCTATCTGTCAAGACATTGCCTCCTCTTGCGCTCAGTTAAGTTTTATCTGGTGTTCTTCCGCTCCAAGCTCCTGCCTGAGGACCTGCAATAGATGTCCCGCATAAAGTCACAGCAATGATCGAGATACGCCGTTTCAGAGGCTCATGCTCATTCTAAGTTTCTGGCTAAACATAGCTGTAATACTCTCTTATAATACGCCGTGCTTGAACCACTTTGATTAAATTTAACTTGTTATCGAATGTTTTTGCCAATTAAGAGAATTGCATCTCAAGTTGTATTGAAAAGGCTGAAATAAAGTTACTTTGAAACGTTCACACTGGCTCCTGTTAGGTATTTTGTTGAACTTCATGTGTTAACATGCTCAGTACGTAGAATCAATTTTGCACAGTGTCGAAGATCATAACTTTTTCAGGACGAGTGACTTCCCTCGGTAAAAAAAATAAATAAATAAAAGGTTTAATTTTTAATGTGACTGATCAATGTTGCATTTCTCCTGCTGCCAATGAGGGGTTGTTCCTGCCATGCGGGACATTATTACGCGTATTTCAAAGAGATGAAAGCGAGCCAAGAAGCCTCCATGCTCTCTGCAACGAAAAATTAGGAAATTTTTCCCCTCCTCCCCCTCCCCCTCAGTTTGCTCCACTTTACTCTTCTGAATGGCGAGTGAATTTTGTACCATGACCTCCTTTGCTGGGATTATCTTCTCGTTTATCTGGATTTTCCTAGCTTCATGCGCTTTATGCGCTTGACTCAGTTAAACAAACGGCCACTCCTGTGGCAAAATGTATTCCAAATAGGGATTGTCATTATTTTGTATCCCAGCAAACAGAATTCACCGCACTCGGCCGACGTTAATATCTGACTTAATAATAAATTATCATGTAAAGACACATGAAGCATAGATCTCGATAAATACTCCGAGTGGGCGGAATAAACCTTTTTAGGTTGGACGTTTTTCAACCCACGTGACGGTACCCCAGAGAACACAGGCGTCCCAATCTGAATATGTGTGCGGATGCTAAAAATTAATGCATCTGCTAATATTGTGTGACGTAGCAGTTCATAGGTTTATAAGGGAAAAATAAATACATGCATCACATTGCGTACCTGGAAATGATAATACCGAGGGAAAGAGAAAGAAGAGAGAAGACAGAAAGGGAGAAAAACCTTAGCTATAAGGATGTGGAGTGGGAGAAACTTGTTCATGGGGATCTGCTTAAAAAGCAAAGAGTCTGACATCTGAAAAGAAATTATTCAAAAAAGGCAAGCTAAACTTAGTGACAGCTCACATTCAGTTGTCAGCAACCATACAAAGTGTCTGCGCTACAAAAGATGCAAGTAGCTTTGGAGCAAACAGCAGCTCAGAAGCAAGAGAAGAGAGTAGCCTGCACTATGTTGTGCAGAAAGTTGGGAGTGATTCCTCCGAGAATGATGAATGAAAATGATGATGATGAAGAAGAGGACAATATATCTTCGCAAAACTGGCATTGAACAGTTGGAATGACAGTGATATCATTGTACCATTAAGCGTACTCGTCAAACACAGTTGTTAATAATAGTTTTTTTATTACATTCCTTATAAAGCAAGGCAAGAGGCTAGAGATTTATGAATTTGTCATACACAGAGTAAGGTTTCATTGGATTATTAAGAGGAAACCAAAAATTCATGTTTTAATTCTAGGGGGTGGGTCATGTGATTTTTAACCTTGCTTTAGGGGTGGATCAGACATTTTTGAGCCGAAGAGAGGGAGTGGGCCATGAATTTTTTTATCAACCACATTTCCAAATGCTCCGGCCCACCCCCTATGCATATTTACCAGTCCCTAATAGTACTGTAACTTGTTTACATTAAACTCCACGTTAAGACTCCGAAAATAATCCACTTTAAATATTTTGAAAGTGCTCCTATCAGCGTTGCACTATGTTGAAGGGATCAAGAGTTGAGAGTGGGGCCTGTGATACTTAGAACTTTACAAACGACACTTTTGGGGCGATTGACTCTCAGGGAGTCATTCAGTTAACAGCATGCAAGGCTCTGTTTCAGGATAATCTGGAAGAGACAAATTGTACTTTTGAGCTAGAGACTCGGGCACAAATCTGCCACCTAAGAAATGAAATGTGCCCTGAAAGTGCTTAGCACAAAGTTTTGGAGCTGTGAGAGAGATCAAGAAGTCTGGTTGAATTCCATCAGGATTTCCATCTTCTACATGCCAACCTAAAAGTCAATTGAAGAACAGGAGACAGAAGTCAGTCCTCGACTCAAAACAGGGTTAGTAAGTCTACGGTAAACTCCCTTGGATTGAACCCACTTAAGCCATCTGCAAAATATGAAGGTGTCCAACTAGTTTACTTTAAGAGCCAACCATCCTGGCATCACCTAATAACATTGATTTGTGTATGTAATCAGTGCAAACAAAACATCTTATAGTTTACAGCTTTGTCATGTAGCCCTTATGATCTTTTTGAGTCTAGGGAAATAAATTCAATGGGCAGTTTTATAGTTAGAATTAACTTGGTGTGGTAGCATTGTTGCTGATTTGTTTTATTTTCTATGCATGACTACTTAGCATGTTATAACATTCAGTGCTGCTCTCTACATTCTGGGCACACAAGAACTCAGCCTGAAATCATTATAAAATTTTAAATTTGAGTCTAAAATAATAGTAATAGTGATTAAATTTGATGATATACGAGTTAGGACTTTTTAATGAATGGTGAAACATTTCATTATATTCTTTATGTTGCGTGCCACAATCGTCTAGTTTGAACGAAAATTCTTTCTGTAAAACTGAGAAAGAAAATTTGCTTATTTATTCGTTAACGATCAATGGAAACTGAGCGGAAACAAAGTGAAAAGAGTCTTAAAGTCCACCGAAAGGTAAAATACTCACATGTTCGATAGAAGTCGTGGAGTATGGTTTGGATTCGCTGAAAAGATGTTTATGTTTTGCTCGACGAAATCCAGAAAACATGTCTTTTTATCAAAGACGACTGTCATTCTACTTTACATTCATTTTCGAACAATGGCTGGTCATTACGGCTTCTTGAGAAGACCTGGCAGCAGTTGTTTTTGTGATTTATGTCTTCTTGCGGTGCAATTTGTCTTGTTATTGCAAGAGTAATTTTTCTGCTTCAGTCGGATTGTTCGGGAATAACAAACGTGCATAACTTGTCGCTATTGAGCTTGCTTTATAATTGTTTTGCAAAGGATAAACAAACGTTAAAAGCGGAGGACACTTTATACGAATTGGATATTTTCCGACACAGACGAATTTGTGGTCTTCTTCCAGCTGAATGTCAGTCTTTACGGCAGACTTTTCGACGATTCAGCCTCTAATTATTTGCGAAACATCTTCACCGCTTTTGCTGTTGGTTTGAGTGGCTAGAGGCTAAATTCCAAAAATGCTAGAAAGTTTTTCCATCATTGCCGTCGATTTTGGGGTACTTAGGGCCTGTTTACATGGGGTGGGGACTCCGGTCTAGTGGGGTTGATTTCTTTTGTTTTCACGCTCTGGTGGACACAAAACAAAAGAAACCTACACCACTAAACCGGGGTCCCCCACTCCATGTAAACAGGGTCTTAGTACAGGGTATAAAAAGACGAAAAACACAGCTAAACACGTCCTCATGAAAAAAATCTTTATTTACGCACGGGCGCGCGTAGGAGGCAAGCACGCGCGCTATGTTATAAAACAATTTTTTTTCTCCGTTACCATTATTAAAGTGTTCACACCAAAATTGCCTTTGAAATCGAAAAAAAAGATTTTTAAATTAATTTTAGTAACTCAGTTTAATTGCATCATTCAGTGGGAAATTGAAGGAGCAATGTGTCGTAAGCTAATTAACGAAGAACTAAACGAACCATACTGAGCTAGACAAAAAGAAATGCCTTCATCTTTTCAAATCTTAAGAGAAATCTACAAGCATGCACTATAAACTAAAATGCATTTTTAGTTCGACCCAACCCAATCGAATGGCTATACTATATATATGCACCCCTTGAGTTTTCTACACTAGGTGTGTGGAAGGGGCACTACTTGTCATCAATAGAAGGTATAAACGAAAGGGGTACCTTTTCCGCCAAAAATGATATATAAAAGGGAAAGGGGGCGGACCTCAGGACGGAACCTCCCCGTAGAAAACATTGTTGATTACCCTCTGGAGGGCATAGTCTCGTGTTGAAGAGATGACTTTGGCGATTTTTTCAGAACGTTAGCGAAACGACCTGTCTTAAAACACTCTGATCGTAAGAACACCTAGTTTTAAAAAACAAGGCCTTTGCTAATGAAGACAAGGAGCAGCACTACCGCAAAACGTCAAAAAGTTGTGGTTTGAAGACTGGGCTTACAGGTTAATCTTCCAACTAAACTATCGTAACGTTAAGTTTTGGCCGTCTTTAATCTTATAATCAGTCACCAGCTGGGTTGCGGCATGTTAAATATCAAAGACAAAAAGCATCGAAATAGGACAATTGCACGATGACGTTATTTTACTACAACTACGAGAATCCTTGAATTTGTTGTTTTCTTGTGCAAATTATAGGGACAGGTTTACGGTTCAGCGCATGCTCATTAATCAAAATGCTATTTTTCTGCCGGGACATGCTGTATCGGGTTAGCATCTTATTGGGGACATATTATGGAGTCTTACATGAGATACTGACCCTGTATGGCCTATGAAACTCCCGGGCCCGCGGCGATATGATCATGTCGTAATGTTGTCAAAGAACTAATCTGCACACTCCCGTGGCAGTCACTCGGTCAGCTTAGGTGGAAATAGCTGTAAATTGGTCAACCATGGAATAAAACCCTCGGGTCAACAATAAATTCAACGTTGGTAGTGTTGGCATAATCCACTAATTTTTCTGCGATTTTAGTACTCCTCCATTCTACTTCACGTTACTCTGAAATACACTTCTACTTTGAAATACACTCTGAGATCGCTGAGATGCATTTGATTGGGATTATTAACCGATAGAATTAATAATAAATTGGAAAAACGTAATTTAATTAATGAGTATGCGCTGAACCATGAACCTGTCCCTTTAACTGCTATTGTTCTTTAATCCTCAGCGCCACTGACAAATTTAAATAACAAAAAGCAAAACCGAAATGAATTCTGGTAGTTGTAGTCAAATATCGTCATCGTGCAATTGTCCTATTCATTCTAAATCAATATTGTCAACTCTATTTCTTGCATAAATAACTGGGCAAATTGTAGGTTTTTGTTAGGTTTCGAAGCTGCCACTTAAAGTATAGATAGTGAATCTGTGAACATTCCACCGTTAAGTGTAGAGAACTTAGCATGCATTGGTTTGTCATTCTTTTGCTGGTTAGAGCCGTGTTCA